TTATTTAATGAAGAAATATGAAGGTGAGTACCTCACCTTCAGCATTATAATTATTTGACCCACACCGGACAGAGACTGAGACGGTGACGCTGCATGTCGTGTCAAACTCCCTTACACCTTAACCCACCCTTAAACCTACCCAAACCACCAAACCTGTCCCTAGCCTTACCCATATCCACATCAATAGCAGCAAACGTGTTTTGCAATACAATATGACCACAATAAGTACATTGTACTTATTTTTTGATGTAAGTACATAGTAGTTAAGGCCACCTAATATAAAGTGTGACCGATATAAACATCTTCTGGTTTTAGGATGACAACACACTGTTTTTATTTCTTCCTTCAGTCAATTCAGTCACTGGTAAAACACAATAAAACAGTCCTTTGCTTCTGAGATCTAATGTGCATCAATTTCCACAGCTTTTCAACAATATTTTAAAGGATTTTTCAGAGAACTGGTTTGTCTGGAGTATAATCCCGTTGTCACTGTTTTTAGACAGCACTTCCTGTTTATGTCCCAGTTGTTTGCTACAATGTGGCGCTTCGCAGGCATCCTGGAGAACACGAGGAAATCCCCTCCGACAGAAATACCATCTGAAACATGCCAGATTCACAACTCATTCGCTCTTCCACTGTGCATGATGAGCCCCGGGAAACAGCACTCATGATGAGGAGACAGGCTGTTGAGCTGCATGTCCTCGCTCCAGAGCGCTCTTCTTGGAGCTCCTCTTGAAAGCATGGCGTTTGGTGGGATGGTGTAATTGTGCGCTCATGTAAACGTGTGTTAAAGAGGCCATTTCCTCTCCTGATGTTTGCTGAAGTGTGTGTGTCTGAGCCGTGATTTACAAACACGCGCTCATCCAGTCAATTGCATCATGGTTGGCTTTCAGTCGTCCTGTGCTGACCCATTTCCAGCGAAACGCATTACAGCATGAAGAACGAGTGCAGTCTGATCATCAGCGTCTTAAAGCCATAGTTCACCCAAAAATGTTGATTCAGGCATTATTAATGCTTCTCCAAACCTGTAGGACTTACTTTCTTCTGCTTGATATAAAAGAAGATATTTTGAGAAACATCTCAGTGTTTTTTTGTCCATACAATAGACATCAGTGGTCACCAAAATGGATTAATTCTTCAAAATATCTTTTGTGTTCAGCAGAAGAAAGGTCATACAGGTTTGAAACAACGTGAGCGTGAATTAACCATGACGTTTTTGAATGAACAGTCTCTTTAAGTGGAAAGCGTCATATAACACTGCTCAAAAAAAATTAAGCGAACACTTAAATCAATGAATCACAATGAATGAAATATCTTTACTTGTATACATTGTGTAATTCATTGAGAACAAAATGATGTGAAAATGGTCAATGCAAACGAAAGTCATCAACCTACTGAAGGCCAGATTTAAAATCACACAAAAATCTAAGTAAAAACTGAGTCAGTAGTGTTTTTGGCCTCCACATGACTGTAAACATCTATGCATGCTCCTGGTGAGATGATGCATGTCTTGGAGGATCTCCTGCCAGACCCGGATCATCAGTGAGCTCCTGGACAGTCTGTGGTGCTTCAGATGCTCCGATACGTAACGTCCCAGAGGATCTCCATTGATTTCAGATCTGGGGAACGACCAAATTTAAAATAAAAATCTCTTAATTCGCAAAAAAGTTTTTACGCTCACTTGAGGTGGTTTTTGACTTGTGCGAAAAAGGGTTAATGCTAATAATGGGAGATGGAAACGCATTTGATGAATAAATTCATCACACAATGAATAAATTCAGGCACAATTGTTATTATTTTAGCTGTTGACCA